TAGCCTTTTAGTATAAATTAAAGTTAGGTAGCATGATGCCTCCAGCTTTGTTCTTTTTGCTTAGGATTATCTTGGCTATACAGGCTCTTTTTAAAATCCATATGAAATTTAAAGCAGTCTTTTTTTTAGTTCTGCAAAGAAAGTCAATGGTAGCTTGATGGGGATAGCATTGAATCTATAAATTACTTTGGGCAGTATGGCCATTTTCATGATATTGATTTTTTCTATTCATGAGTATAAAATGTACTTCCATTTCTGTGTGTGTGTCTTCTCTTACTTTCTTGAGCAGTGATTTGTAGTTGTCCTTGAAGAGCTCCTTCATGTCCCTTGTTAGTTGTATTCCCAGGTACTTCATTTTCTTTGTAGCAATTGTGAAAGAGAGTTCACTCATGATTTGGCTCTCTTTTTGTCTATTACTGGTGCATAGGAATGCTTGTGGTGTTTGCTTTTGGTTTTGTATCCTGAGACTTTGCAGACGTTGCTTAATAGTTTAAGGAGCTTTGGGACTGAGACGATGCAGCTTTCCAAATATACAATCGTGTCAACTGCAAACAGAGACAATTTCACTTTCTCTCTTCCTCTCTGAATACCCCTTATTTCCTTCTTTTGCCTGATTGCCCTGGCCAGAACTTCCAATACTATGTTAAATAGCAATAGTGAGAGACGGCATCCTTGTCTTATGCCAGTTTTCAAAGTTTCCAGCTTTTGCCCATTCAGTATGATATTGGCTATGGGTTTGTCATAAATAGCTCTTATTGTTAGAGATGGTGCCCATAAATACCTACTTTATTGAGTGTTTTAGCATGAAGCGGTGTTGAGTTTTACCAAATGCCTTTTCTGCATCTATTGAGATAATCATGTGGTTTTTGTCATTAGTTCTATTTATGTGATGGATTACATTTATTGATTTCCATATATTGGACCAGCCTTGTATCACAAGGATAAAGCCAACTTAACCATAATGGATAAGCTTTTTGATGTGCTGCTGGATTTGGTTTGCTGGTATTTTATTGAGGACTTTCGCATCAATGTCCATCAGAAATATCGGTCTCAAGTTTTCTATTTTTGTTGTGTCTCTGCCAGGTTTTGATATTAGGATGATGCTGCCCTCATAAAATTAGTTAGGGAGGAGTCCCTCTTTTTCTACCATTTGGAGTAGTTTCAGAAGAAATGATTCCGCTCCTCTGCACCTCTGGTAGAATTTGGCTGTGAATCTGTCTGATTCTGGGCTTTTTTGGTTGGTAGGCTATTAATTACTGCCTCAACTTCAGAACTTGTTATTGGTCTATTCCATGATTTGACTTTTTCCTGGTTTAGTCTTGAAGGGGGGTGGATGTATGTGTCCAGGAATTTATCCATTACTTCTAAATTTTTTAGTTTATTTGGGTAGAGATGTTTAAGTATTCTCTGATGTTATTTTGTATTTCTGTGGGATCAGGGGTGATATCTTCTATATCATTTTTATTGTGTCTATTTGATTCTTCTCTCTTTTCTTCTTTATTAGTCTGGCTAGCAAGCTATCTATTTGTTAATCTTTTCAAACAGCTCCTGAATTCATTGATTTTTGAAGGGCTTTTCATGTCTCTATCTCTTTCAGTTCTGTTCTGATCTTAGTTATCTCTTGTCTTCTGTAAGCTTTTAAATTTGTTTGCTCTTGCTTCTCTAGTTCTTTTAATTGTGGTGTTAGGAGGTCAATTTTAGATCCTTCCTGCTTTCTCCTGTGGGCATTTAGTGCTATACATTTCCCTCTTAACAATGCTTTAGCTGTTTCCCAGAGATTCTGGTATATTGTGTGTTTGTTCTCCTTGGTTTCAAAGAACTTACTTATTTCTGCCTTAATTTTGTCATTTTCGCTGTAGTCATTCAGAAGCGGGTTGTTCAGTTTTCATGTAATTGTGCCATTTTGATTGAGTTTCTTAATCCTGAGTTCTAATTTGATTGCACTGTGGCCTGAAAGACTGCTTGTTATGATTTCCATTCTTTTACATTTGCTGAGGAGTGTTTTTCTTCCAATTATGTGGCCGACTTTAAAATACATACAATGTGGTACTGAGATAAATGTATAATCTTTTGATTTGGGGTGGAGAGTTCTGTAGATATCTATTAGGTCTGTTTGGTCCAGAACTGAGTTCAAGTCCTGAATATCCTTGTTAATTGTCTCATTGATCGGTCTAATATTGACAGTGGGGTGTTAAAGTCTCTCACTATTATTGTGTGGGAGTCTAAGTCTCTTTGTAGGTCTCTAAGAACTTGCTTAATTAATCTGGGTGCTCCTGTGTTGGGTGCATATATATTTAGGATAGTTAGCTCTTGTTGCATTGATCCCTTTACCATATGTAATGCCTTTCTCTTTTTTGATTTTTGTTCATCTAAAATCTGTTTTATCAAAGACTAGAATTACAATCCTTGCTTCTTTTTTTTTCTTTCTATTTGCTTGGTAAATATTTCTTCACCCAATATTTTGAGTCTATGTGTGTCTTTGCAAGTAAGCTAGTTCTCCTGAATACAGCACAGCAATGGGTCTTGACTCTTTATCCAATTTGCCAGTCTGTGTCTTTTAATTGGGGCATTTAGACCATTTACATTTAAGGTTAATATTATTATGTGTGAATTTCATCCTGTCATCATGAAGCTAGCTGGTTATTTTGCACATTAATTGATGCTGTTTCTTTGTAGTGTTGTTGGTCTTTATATATTGGTATGTTTTTGCAATGGCTGGTACTAGTATTTTCTTTCCATATTTATTTATTCCTTCAGGATCTCTTGTAAAACAGAACTGGTAGTGACAAAATCCCTCAGCAGTTGCTTGTCTGTAAAGAATTTTATTTTGCCTTCACTTATGATGCTTGATTTGGCTGGATATGAAGTTATGAGTTAAAAATTCTTTTTTTTAAGAATGTTGAATATTGGTGTCCACTCTCTTCTGGCTTGTAGGTTTCTGCTGAGAGATCTGCTGTTAGCCTGATGGGCTTTCCTTTGTAGGTAACCTGACGTTTCTCTTTGGCTGTCCTTAACATTTTCTTTTTACATTTCAATCTTGAAGAATCTGACAATTATGTGTCTTGGGGTTGCTCTTCCTAAGGAGTATCTTAGTGGTGTTCTCTGCATTTCCTGAATTTGAATGTTGGCCTGTCTTGCTAGGTTGGGGAAGTTCTCCTGGATAATGTCCTGAAGTGTGTTTTCCAACTTGGTTTCATTCTCCCTGTTACTTTCAGCTACATCAATTGTAGATTTGATCTTTTTGCAGCATCCCATATTTCTTGAAGGTTTTGTGTATTCCTTTTCATTCTTTTTTTCTCTAATCTTCTCTCACACTTTATTTCATTTAGGTGATCTTCAATCTCTCACATCCTTTTTTTATTTGATCGATTTGGCTATTGATACTTGTGCATGCTTCACAAAGTTCTCCTGCTGTGTTTTTCAGCTCCATCAGGCCATTTTTGTTCTTCTCTGAACTGGTTATTTTAGTTAGCAGTTCCTGCAACATTCTATAAAGGTTTTTAGCTTCATTGCATTGGGTTATAACATACTCCTTTTGCTCAGAGGATTTTGTTACTACGCCCCTTCTGAAGCCTAGTTCACCTTCTGTCAACTTGTTGAACTCATTCTCCATCCAGTTTAGTGCCCTTGCTGTAGAGAAGTTGTGATCATTTGGAGGAGAAGACACATTCTGATTTTTGGTATTTTCAGCCTTTTTGCACTAGTTTTACCTCGTCGTTGTGGATTTATCTACCTTTGATCTTTGATGCTGATGGTCTTTGGATAGGGTTTTTGTGGGGGCATCCTTTTTGTTGATGTTGATGTTACTGCGTTCTGTTTGTTAGTTTTCTTTCTAACAGTCAGGTGGCTCTTCTGCAGGTCTGCTGGGGTTTGCTGGAGGTCTACTCTAGACCCTGTTTGCCTGGGTATCACCAGCCGAGGTTGCAGAACAGCAAAGATTGCTGCATACTTTTTTCTCTGGAAGCTTCATTTTAGAGGGGCACCTGCCTGATGCCAAACAGAGACCTTCTGTATGAGGTGTCTGTCAACCCTGCTGGGAGATGTCTCCCAGTCAGGAGGCACGGGGATTAGGAATCCACTTGAGGAGGCAGTCTGGCCCTTATCAGAGCTCAAGCACTGTGCTGGAACATCTGCCGCTTCTTCAGAGCCAGCAGGCAGGAACATTGAAGTCTGCTGAAGCTGCACCCACAGCTACCCCTTCCCTTAGGTGCTCTGTCTCAGGGAGATGGGAGTTTGATCTTTAAGTCCTTAACTGGGGCTGCTGCCTTTCTTTCAGGATGCCCTCCCCAGTGAGGAGGAATATAGAGAGGCAGACTGGCCATAGCCACTTTGTGGCAATGCAGTGAATTCCACACAGTTTGAACTTTCTATGCAAGCCTCACTAACAGTGGACATTCTTCCCCTACCAAGCTCATATATCCCATTTGCTGGCTTCAGCCCCCTTTTCAGAGGAGTGAACGGTTCTATCTCATTGGCGTTTCGGGTGCCACTGGAGTATGAAAAAAACAACAACAAAACTCCTGCAGCTAGCTCAGTGTCTGCCCAAACAGCCACACAGTTTTGTGCTTGAAGCTCAAGCCCTGGGGGTGTATCCACATGAGGTAATCTCCTAGTCTGCAAGTTACAAAATCCATGGAAAAAGCATAGTATCTGGGCTGGATAGCACAGTCCCTCACGGCTTCCCTTGGCTGGGAGTGGGGGGGAAGTTCCCTCCTCCCTTGCACTTCCTGGGTGAGATGATGCCCCACCCTACTTCTGCTCATCCTCTGTGGGCTGCACTCACTGTCTAACCAGTTCCAATGAGATGAACCGGGTACCTCAGATGGAAAGCAGAAATCATTCACCTTCTGTGTTGGTCTCACTGGAAGCTGCAGACTGGAGCTCTTCCTATTCGGCCACTTGCCGTCTGTCTCTATCAACTTTATTTCTTATTCCATAAAATAAAACCATCATGAGGTTAGATGCCATTAAATATACATAATATGATTCGCGACCCGGAGCTGCGCGGGCACGGGCGCGGGTGAGCAGGGGCTCCGGGTGCACGGCCACCGAGGCTCGCCAGGCCCGGAGAACTCTAGCTCCCCCACGGAGTCGGCAGACTTCTACGAGGCGGAGCCGCGGCCACTGATGAGCAGCCACCTGCAGAGCCCCCCCACCCCCATACGAGCCCAGCAGGCCGCTTGGGCTCCCCCCCGCCCGCGTCTCCCCCGGCATCTGTGAGCACGACACGTCCATCGACATCAGCACCTACATCTGCCCGGCCGCCTTCAACGACGAGTTCCTGGCCGACCTGTTCCAGCACAGCCGGCAGCAGAAGGCCAAGGCGGCCGCGGACCCCGCGGGCGGCGGCAGCGGCGGAGATTTTGACTACCCGGGCGCGCCCGCGGGCCCAGGCGGCGCCGTCATGCCCGGGGGAGCGCACCAGCCCCCGCCCGTTACAGGTGCGCGGCCGCAGGCTACCTGGACTGCAGGCTGGAGCCCCTGTACGAGCGCGTCGGGGCGCCGGCGCTGCGGCCGCTTGTGATCAAGCTGGAGCCCCGCGAGGAGGACAGGAAGCCAAGCAGCTGGCACTGGCCAGCCTCTTCCGGTACCAGCCGCTGACGCCGCCCTAGCACCCGCACCCGCCACCCATGCATCTGGCCACCCCGCACCTGCAATTCCAGATCTCGCACTGCGGCCAGACCACCATGCACCTGCAGCCCTGTCACCCCACGCCGCCGCCCACGCTCATGCCCAGTCTGCACCCAGCGTCCGCGCTTGGCGCCGCTGGCCTGCCGGGCCCCGGTGGCGCGCTTAAGGGCCTGGGCGCCGCGCACCCCGACCTCCGAGCGGGTGGTGGCGGCGGCACAGGCAAAGCCAGGAAGTCGGTGGACAAGAACAGTAACGAGTACTGTGTGCGGCCCAAGCACAACAACATCGCTGTGCCCAAGAGCCACGACAAGGCCAAGCAGCGCAACGTGGAGAGGCAGCAGAAAGTGGTGGAGCTGACCAGTGACAATGACTGCCTGCGCAAGCTGGTGGAACAGCTGAGCCGCGAACTGGACACGCTGCGGGGCATCTTCCGCCAGCTGCCAGAGCGCTCCTTAGTCAAGGCCATGGGCAACTGCGCGTGAGGCGCGCGGCTGCGGGACCGCCCTGGGCCAGCCTCTGGCAGGAACCCGGGGAGTGATTTTGGGTCGCCGGATCGCGAGGCTTGCTCCCGACGTGCGAGCCAGTACTAGGAGATTCCGGTGCCGCCTGAAAGCCTGGCCTGCTCCGCGTGTCCCCTCCCTTCCTCTGCGCCGGGCTTGGTGCGTCTAAGATGAGGGAGCCAGGCAGTGGCTTCTCCCTGCGAAGAGGTGAGAATTCTTGGGGCTGAGCTGGGAGCCCCGTAACTCTAGTATTAAGGATAACCTTGTGCCTTGGAAATGCAAACTCACCGCTCTGATGCCTACCGAGTAGGGGGAGCAAATCGTGCCTTGTCATTTTATTTGGAGGTATCCTGCCTCCTTCCCAAGGCTACAGCAGGCCCCCATGAGAGAAGGAGGGGAGCAGCCGGTGGCCGGAGGAGGAGGGCTCAGGTAGCTGATATACCGACAAGCCAGCCAGCCCCAGCCGCTCCTCCATGCCTGTCTTATAGAGGGGTGGAAACATAGGGACTTGGGGCTTTGAACCTCAGGTTGTTCCGCTGGTTCTACATGAAGGTGGAGGGTCTCTAGGTCTGCACCTCTCCCATCCCTCCGCACACACCCCACCCCAGCCTGCCACACGTTGGGCTTCCCCCTGGGGCGGAACTCACTGAGATGAGCCCCCGGGGTCACCAGGCGACCAGTGGGAGCCACCACCCTCAGACCACAAAGCTAGATTGTGGGTCAGCTCTGAGGATGTATACCCCTGGCGTGAGAGGGGGGACCTGGCGATCTGGCCGTGTGGTGGGCGTGGGGGGTGAAGGGCCACTGGGACCCTCAGCCTTATTTGTATTGTATGCCTTCAGCATTGCCATAGGAACACAAAGCACGATCAGTCCATCCCAGAGGGACCGGAGTTATGACAAGCTTTCCAAATATTTTGCTTTATCAGCCGATGTCAACACTTGTATCTGGCCTCTGTGCCCCAGCAGTGCCTTGTGCAATGTGAATGTGTGCGTCTCTGCTAAACCACCATTTTATTTGGTTTTTGTTTTGGTTTGGTTTGGTTTTGCTCGGATACTTGCCAAAATGAGACTCTCAGTCAGCAGCTGGGGGAAGGGTCTGAGACTCTTTCCTTTTAGTTTTGGGATTACTTTGGATCCTGGGGGGCCAATGAGGTGAGGGGGGTTCTCATTTGCCCTCAGCTCTTCCCTGGCCCCTCCAGCCTGGGCTGCCGGAAAGCCTTGCCCCCCAGAGGTCATGGCTCCTGGTTGGGAAGGGAGGTGGCCTCCCACCAACGCATCACTGGGACTGGGAGCAGGGAAGGACGGCTTGGTTCTCTTCTTTTGGGGAAAACATAGAGTCTCACCCTAAATGTTTTATGTATTATATCTATAATATAAACATATCAAAGTCAATAAATAAATAAATATACATAATATAAAAACAGGTTTTCTTATTCTAATCTAGATTTGCTACACAAGAATGCCATGCATATACAATCTGTACCCAACAAGTTGTACATTTTAGTAAATGTTCGTGATTGGAAGGGTAGCATATGGAAATTTTGGCTTCTTAGATCTTTCCTGTTAAGTTTGACTGATTATCAGTACATTTTTATTTTTAATTTTCTATTTTCAGTACTGTGAACTGTTTTGCAGTGATTTTTGATGCCATGTGGCAAAATTGGTTTTAGAATATTAATAAAATCCATTGTTTCTAAAATAAATAAACTCTAGGCCCCATAGCACATTGTCCATAAAACATCTGCTGTCTTTCAAGGTACAATTGTTACCACTATCATCTAACCATTATTTTAAGATAACTTTAAAATCATCACCTCACAAGAAAATATTCCGTAAAATAGACTTTGCCTTTATACTTTAAGAGTCTACCTGAGCCAACATTATTCTCCTTTGTAGGATTTAGATTCCACAGATTATAGTATGTGACTTTTTTCTGTATTCACTACAGATTTGCAAATACCTTACCTCTCTGGGGCCTTAATTTGCACCTCCAGCACCTGGGAAATGATGTCTTCCTGCCGCAGACTCTCTTCGGTGCAGTCATCCTCCTGGCGAATTGTGTCGCACCGTGGGCACTGAAGCACGTGAACCGTCGAGTAAGCCAGATGCTTCTCATGTCCCTACTGGCAATCTGCCTTCTGGTCATCATATTGGTGCCTCAAGGTGAGAGAAGATCACAGGTGGAAGAAAGAAAATGCCTCTTCCTCTTTTCTCAGGGATTGTACTGGTCACACCTATCTGAAGCCAGAAGAAAAGGGAGACTTGAGTTCTCAGGATTCCCTGATTGAAACCTGGGGCTTTAAGGCAGATTATTACACAGAAGTTGCTGAGAAATGAGTCAAAGATGAGTACGGTTGGCTCGGATATGTGGTTGTCTTCACCACATTTGAGAAGCAGTAAGAAATTGATGTCATTTATTCATGATAGTTTCTCTGGGACAGCAATTGATCACTTGCCCTTTGGCCAATCAAATTCTTAGTAAGTATTGAGTGGTGAGGCTTTGTATCCCAATATGAGAACATAATACTGCTATTTCCTCCATCTGGGCTCTTTCTTATTATTACAGCTTCAGTGATAAAGTATGCCCTAATCCCTACATAGCCATTTGTGTGCCCTGATTAGGTCACCATAACTGCAATCCAAGTTCAGGGGAGTTATCTTGACTTCAAGGGAACAAAAGTCCCCCATTTTATATACCAAAATGTCCAGGAGGCAGGAGGCAACCGTCAGTTAAGAACTTCTCTTAGAATCTACTTTCATAAATTAAATGATCACGTGCAATAAATAAGGGAACCCAAGTTGTCACCAGGTTTCACCTGACTCCCAGAGTAGTAATGTATTTAACAAGATCCCAGGTTGGTGTGCTCCAGTCCTCCTCTTGACAGTAAGCAATGATACAAGTCTGGTGCAACGCAACAGAACCCACTCCAATGGCACGAGGCAGTTACATCTTTGTTTTAATGGGATAGAATCCTGCCTCTGAAACTTCCCTTCATTGGTTTCCAAAATCTGATTTTTTTTCTCCAATAAAGGTTTTTATTCTTCATCCTTGAAACATTAATACTCTCCAACTTGTCCTTGAACATAGGAACCCTGTCCATTTATGACTGTCTTTTGCAACCACAGCCCTATGTTAATATTGTGTATATATCTGGGTTTTAAAGTCTATGAGGACATAGATGAGTCTTACGCTCCCCAGTATTGCACACATGACAGTCCTGTATTCTGCAAGGAGGGCAGACGGGTCCCTGGACAGAATAAATGAGACCAAAGAAAAAAACTCTTTAATGTTTCCTCTCCTCCTATGGTGTATCCCTGATATACAGTGAGAATTGAAGCATCAACTTTTATTCACTATTAGCCACTGCACATTCTTTGCCTCTAAGCACTTTTCCTACAAATTTTACCCTTGGAAACACCTCCAATGCAGTCCTTTTCACTTCTACCTTGGGGGATTCTGATTCCTTCAGCTCAGATTTCCTGAGGCCTGTGGTCTTCCTTTCTCTAGAAATGCAGACCCTGCGTGTGGTTTTTGCAGTCCTGGGTTTGGGAGCTTCTGCTCTTAGCAATACCACAGGTATTGCCCAAGGAAATGAACTAATTCCTTCCATAATCAGGTATGAAAGCTTATATGTGCTCTGTCATTCTCAAAATGGACCTTTCTCAACCAATCGACACTTAACGAGGGAAAAACTCTAAGACTAGTTAAAAAAAAAAGATCAAATATAATAGTCATAAAAACAACAAATTAGAGCCCAAGTTTATATCACACTGACCTTATGCCAGACACTGTGTTAAGTCTTTTGATGTAGTACCCCATGTAACCTTCTGAACCACCTGAAAGGTTGGTGCTAAGGATAACAGTATTTCGTAAATGATGAAAATGTGTCTAATTTACTTGTGAATTTAAAATAAATTGCTAGCAAATAAGAGGAAATTTCAAAAGCAAGAGTATGTTATTACCTCCATGTATCTAAATGCTCACCCATTATCACAGCACAATGATAAATCACAAATAATATGTGTGATTTTTAACAACTTTTTCTCTATTATCATTTGTACCCCAAGGGGAAGAACTATGGGAATCGCTGCAACCTTTGGTAATATTGGGGGAGCTCTGTCTCCCCTTGTGATTATCCTAAACATATATTCTCCACCCCTGCCCTGGATCATCTATGGAGTCTTCGCCATCCTCTCTGGCCTTGTTATCCTCCTCCTTCCTGAAACCAGGAACAAGCCTCTTCCTGACAGCATCCAGGATGTGGAAAATGAGTGAGTAAATAGCCTAGCTTCCCCTCAGAGGATCTGTGTGCTATAGACCTGTGCTGAGGAAGCAAAACATCATTTAGGGCCAGCACCCCTCAAAAAGGCTTAGACCTACACTATTCCCATGTAGTCAGTGCCCTTGGTCTAGATATAGCCTCATCCCTTCCACAGTGACCTCTGACATCCCCTGAGGCTCTCCAGATCACACAGACCAGCTCTGCCCAGCCTGTCTAGGAGGTTAATTTGTGGTAGCCCTAGTATGACATGCACACTCTTGAAGGTATTTTACAAACATGCAGAGATCCAAACACCAGCTTCTCATACCTGGGGAGCCCTCAGCCCAGTGAGTGTACCTGTTAGCATTCTGTGATTGCCAGTGCTTACAGGCCTGACTCCCAGGACACTGAAGAATTTGTGAGAGACTGTATAGAAAATAAGAGCCCCTTCCACACATGATATTTGTATCACATGTGAGATTCAGTCAATCTAATTTTCACTGGGAAAAGAGTGTTGGAAAGGGGGAAAAGAGGTGGTAACTAAAGTGATTTTTTAACTGATGAAGAATGAGAAAAGGTTCTGAAACTTTTCTGTGCTTCTCTTGCCTTTTCCAAAATCCCTTTGGCCAATGTCATGATGTCCAAGTGTGAGAGTAAAAACTATTAAAACTTCCTTCCCACATTCTAGGCTGGGAATTTGGCATTTTACTTCACAAGGTTTACACAAACACTTGGGGGCAGAGGCATGGTTTTTATTAAAGCTGGTGGGCCAAGAATCAGTATATCCTAAAGAATGCAGGACTTACATGTTTAGTTCATGCCTTTCATTTTTGTGCTTTTTTCTTTGTTGGTTTCATTATATTTCTACCAGGAAAACATGCTCTGGACAAGCAGGGCAGGAAGATACCTGCAGCACAGTGACACGATTTTAAGAAATTCCAGGTGCTGACTGCTGATTAAACAGCAAGACAAAAGAAAAATCGAGACATTTCTAGACACTAGTAAAATTCAAAAATTAAACAAATAACAAGATATAATGGATAAATACATTCCATTTACAACTCTGATACTAAATGATTAAATAGAAAATATCTACAAATAATCATAAGAAGTTTGAAGAAAATCATAACACTTTAAAAGGAATCATAATAGAACATTTGTATAATTATATGTACTTAGCATGTTTCTGGATATGAAGATCAAATAATATTAAAAACAATGATTCTTCATCAATTATTTAATAGAGTAATTGCTGAAATCGTTACAATGTAAAAAACTCATACTTTTCTAAGAACTTTAAAAATAGTTCTAAAACTGAACATCCATATGCAGAAAAATAAAACTAGACCTCAAATCAAAATAAATTAAAAACTGGAATCTACGACCTCAAACTATGAAACTACCACAAGAAAGCATTGGAGAAAACTTCCAGTACATTAGACTGTGATGGCCATGGGGAAATTTTCCTTTTACTTGAGAAAAGCAGAGGAAGAAGTAGAGGACCTTTGTATTGCACCTTGGGTACTGGCACCACCACAGGTTGGCAGAGCACTAAGCAGGCTCTTGGGGTCTCTAATTCTAGGACTAGATTCTTAAATGTTATTTCTTGACCTTCCCTGGACCAGAGAGGAGCCCACTGCCCCAGAGGGTGAGTCACAGGCCAGGCAGCATTCATGACAAGCTGATTTAAGATCAATGAACCTTAAGGAAACATTGTCAGTAGGCTGGCCTCGTGGTCAGTGGTGGCAGTGGCTACAAGGCTAGGCTCCTCTGCCTTTGGGAAG